CCCAGGGATGTGCTGGACAAGAAGGGCAGAAAAACAAAACAAAACAGCTCACCAAACAAACAAAAAGGAAAGTAGGAAAGTAGAGCCTTGGGAGTCAGAAAAATGAGGACTGAAAATCTTGGTCCCAAACTTAAGTAACGGGGGAGCTTTAAGAAAGTTCTTTGATACTTCAGATGTGCATTTTGTCATCTGAAAAGTGGAAACCCTGGTGTGGGGATCAAGTGATATACTGCATGTAAGTATTTTGTACTTTCTTGGTATGTAATAATTGGTGAATTTATGGTGTAGTGTTAATTAGACCAAGAACTAACTCATAGCAAAAATGAGAATGAGGTATACCAACTAGTTACAAGGTCCTTTGATGGCTAGTGACAGAAAGTCTCAGGATCAATTAGAATACCAGAAAACCAGGCTTGAAAATTCAGGAAGAGCTGAACACACCTGAAGACTTGAGTGACAGGAAAGTCTCAAGGGTCTTAGCTAGAACTGCCAGTGAACTAACACATTTCAAATCTCCCCCTTGGTCTTGCATGTTTGTTCGAAGAATTTAGAGTCCTGGGAAGAGACTGGAAATCTGGGTAAAATTATTAAAAAGTAATAAGGGCACTGGGTGATTAGTCGCTCAGAGTCAATATGAAATACGACACATAGAATCTGGTTGCATGCCGTATGTAAGGCTGTCTTCCTGCATGTGAGATCTGTGTAGTCAAAAAGGTCCCACAGCTCACAAAGTCCACCCTTGCTTTCATACTCTGAGCCACCATTATGAGTGAAATTCTTATTTGTTGTCAACAAGGGATTCTATGTCTTTATTACACTGCTGTCACTGACTTTGCATATATTCTGTAGTAGGGACCTGTACACAACCCTGTAGAAACACAGAGGGAAGAATTCCAGGATTCATGGAAAGTCCCAGAGAAAGAGTCACGGAAGGAGAGGTACGGTAGCAATCAATGGTTGCTGAGTGGAAAATGGGGTGAGGGAACTTAGGTGATGAAACCTAGAAGCAGCAGGTGTCATCATCACTTTCTCTGATCAAAGATAGTAAACATAATTCAGACATATTTTAAACTAAAAGATACCTTCTTTAAGAGTAGTAAAGCAAGGAAGCTGAGATTAAAGACAGTTATGAATAATCCCCATATTTTTCTAGAAAGTTGCAACCATCTGGCCTATAGGAACTTTGGGGAGAATTCCACCACAGTCAAGTGGACAGGACCATGAGAAACTGGTAGTTTAGCTGTTGTTTAGGTCTGCCCTCCAGCCAGGCTTCTCCTGCAGGTACTGGAGGCATGAGCTGTCCCCAGTGCAGAATTCCATGTTTGGCACCACGTTCCTGTGTGTATGGCAGCATATGCCTGAGTGGAATGGTTGGAGAATGAACACTGCTGGATAGTTGCTTGCCTTGTATTATCCTGGCCTTGCAGCAACTCTGCTTTCTCCCATTCAATCTTGATCAACCCTTTTTATAGCACAATCCTGGGCATCTATGCCAACTCTTTTCTAGGATGTCAGTTTCCTTAACATGCCTATTCTTTCAGGCCTTGTGATATTATCTCTGGTCTGTTGCTTTTGAGATAGGGTATCCCTATATAATCCACACTGCATTCAAACTCATGCTGATCCTCTTGCTTCAGACCCCTGAGTGCCAGGATTACAGACTCGAACCACCATGTCTGGCTGGTAGCACATGGATTTAATTGTCAGAAACTATTTTCTTGGGTCAGCAAGGTGGCCCAGCAGGTAAAGGAACCAGTTATCAGGCCTGATGACTTGAGTTTGAACTTGGGTCCCACATGGTAGAAGGGGGTGTATTGACTTTCACAGGTTGCACTATGACAGAACAAATAGAATGTTTTTGTTTTGTTTTAAGTATTTTTTTTCTACAGAGTTAAGCATGCTTTCTTTGAAACACTCACCAAGTCATGTTCTGGAATGTCTAGAGTAAGCATCATTCTTCACAGAAACCCAAGCTAGATTCTCTGGTTACAGAGAATTAGTGGCCCGTTCGCTTGGAATATGTAATGAGTATAGAAGATTGCCCTTGCAAACGCTATGCTGTAGCAACAGGCCTGACAGACAGCCCTCTTCTCAGTTGACTAGGATTATGTTTTGTTTCCAAGATAGCACAGGGAAGTTTCGTCTGCAGATTCATTCTGCCTTCTGAACTCCATACTCCCCCTGGGAACCCTCTTCCCCGCTCTCTCTGTCATTTGTTATGCTCCGGGCTCACACCCAGCTGAAGCCATTGCATGAGAGCCAGTCACAAGGGCACTTGTGCCAGGAAGGACAGCCCAGACGTTTGCCATCTGTGTCTCAGCTTTCTCTAGCTCTTTCTTAGGTTGTTGTTTAGGAACACACCCAGGAGCACTGCTCCCTCCCCACAGCAATGGGGACAATCAGCATATCGCACAATGCTAGGTTTTTGAGTGATGTCGTCTTGTACAGCATTTTCTCCAGATTTTATTGAGGGTCTGTTAGTGATGAGCAGTGGGACACGGTGCGGTCAGACAGTTGTGCGTGGGAGACGATCTTTTCAGTAATAACAATAACATCAGTGTCCCAATGACTTTTTGTGTGTTACTTTGTATAGAGGTCAGGTCAACTCAATCAATAGCCGAAGATTCCTTTCACTGCTTGAAAGAGAATTAGAATTGCACAGATTTGAGTATTTTATAGAGAATCACATTGACCAGTGGCTTCTCCCACAGCAAGAACTAAGTGCAGAGCATTTCTCTTCAGTGGCATGTATGCTGCCTTTTTATGCTGAAACAGAAGCTGTCACACTATGCTCCCTTGTTCCCTTGAACATCCATTTCAGGACACAGGAAGAAATAGCCTCACCCTCTGCTCTCGGTGTTCTCTCTCTCTCATGCATCATACCCTAATTTCCTTTGTACAGTTTTTCCTTAATCCTTGCAACTCACCAAGACAGGAACTATTATTCATATGAAATGGAGGCTCAAAACACTTAAGTATTTCTCTTTGATTCAGTCCGTTCTTAAGTGAGGAAATTAGCGTTCAAAGTCATTTGAATTTGATATCACTTCTCAAAATCAAATTTCCAGTGAAGAACTGAGTAGGAAAGCCTAGCACCTGGCTCTGGCCAAATGTGACATACAAGATGCAGTCTGTATGTGTATGTCACATCACATCCCATGCAACCTAGAGTTCCTTTTGCTAGGATTTGAGTTTCTGAAATATTACAATGGTCACCAAGATTTTGGTGCCAAGTTTCTCACTTTAAGCCAATTCAAACCAGAAAGTGAGGCTATTAAAGTGTGGATCTATAGATGAGAGCAACAGAGAGCCATAATTTCTATTAGTTCTCCTTAATACTATTTTTTTTCTTATGGCATACATTAAAAAGACATTTATATATAAAATGTATTTTGGATTTTTTATCCCTTTACTTATGTTATGGAAAGCAATATAAAGCTGGCAATACTAAAACTTCACCCTCAACTCCATTTACTATTTCAGTCTTCACCCACAGAGCCAAAATCACAGTTCATTTTTGTTTTGTTTTGTTTTGTTTTTTTATCAAATGTTTCCCTTACTTAATAAAAGGAGGTGTGGTTGGAAAGGTGGGACGGCCATCTGGACAGCTCAAGTCTAGCAGAGCTGTGATGTCTGTGAAGGAGTTGATCCCTCCAAGGTCATATTTGAGGGTTTTACTAACTGAACTAGCAATGGTTGTGGCTGGTTGGTAGAGTCCTCTTGAAAGCTGTAGTAAAGGCAGAGCTCTACTCCTGTGAAAGAACTCCAAATGTGGGGAAATCTAGACTGTGCTGTTAGAGCAGCTAGTATGGTGCTTGTTTACTTCCCCCTGTGTTCTAGTTTGCTGGTATGTGAGTATTGGAGAGTTTCCTCCCTTAGAAGTGAGACAGATTCCTCACTTAGCAATGGCAGGCAAGAGAAAGAAGTGCTAGTGTGCACTTCAAAAAATACAGATTCCCTTTACCCTCAATGTCTTTGGGAAATTCAAATCAGAACAAGCTGGTAAACTGTAATTCCAATTGTAAAGCACTGACCTAGCTTGTGGCCAATAGATGGGCGCTACATCTGATTAGGAAGGACATCCTACATCCGAACATCTGGCTGGGAAGTGCTTTTGGCTCTAATTATAAAATGTGATGTGTTTTCTTGTTGGAGCTGGCTCATGGCATGGCCGCTTGGGTCTAGGTTCTTAAGCCCAGCCTTGGCTGTATTACATCCGTATAGAGTGTTCTTCATGGCTCTGTGCTGTTTTCTAAGATATAGCATAGACTGAAATTTCAGGGTTTGGTGAAGGAAATGTGAGTTCATAATGCATAGAGAGTCCCTCAGGGGTAGGTAGACAGAATTATGAGTGGAGCCAGGTAGGTGTCATTGCCCTTAAATAATAATATAGATTATCTTCAACATTCATCAGTACAAATCATTGATGCTGGTGTCTAAGAAACAGCAGCTCCTCGATATTTTGTTTTCCATGCACACCCTGATGAGAGGCACTTTGTTTTGAATAATATCACAACAATGGTCAGCCACTAGGGTGCCAGTCAAAAGAGACACACAGCTTCAGCTCCCAAGAAAAACTCCATGCTTGGTGGTTTTTAAAAAATAAGTATTGATTTAATTTTATGAAAGGGATTAAAATACCCAAGAGAGTTAAAAAGACCGGTCACCCAGAGAGAGGAAGCCATATATCCCTGAAGCCGTTTGTAGTCTGTGACACAGCAGTTGTGAACAGCAGAATTCTCACAGCGGCTCTACCTATGAGAGACTGCGCATGCAGCCTGAGACACAGAGGCATTTACACATGATCCTAACAGAATTTGCTGAGATTCCTTGTTGAGACCGACATAGGGCATCAGGCTGTAAACATGCAGATGGTGAAGTCTCTAGGGCTCTCGTCTCATTTCCTGTCCGTCAATTCCTAGCATCACTTTTTCCTAGTAGTTTCATTAAACATCTTCCATGAAGTTTTGAATTATCTTAAAAGGTTTCTTGTTCTACAGATGACCAGACTCAGCGCAAATGGTTTTTCAACTTTACACCTGAAAACAATAAGTAAAGAAAACGTCCATCAGACTAGGTGAAGATCACAAAGCTGTTCTCTATTATTGTGCTGGAGCTGAATCCAAGACTCCAGGACCACAAATTTCTAGTTCGGCTGGTAAGTGAAGAGACCTAGGAGGGAGGATGAGGCGCTTGCCCAAGACTACGTAGTTCTCCGGTGGCCAAGCCTAGGGCTGAGTTCACATAGCCGGCTCTGGAGTCCTTGCTTTTCATATTCAGTAAATGTTTCTGTTGCTGTGTACTTGGACACCTTCCTATTAACCTGCTTTATTTAGAAAATTATATATAATTATCAAAAGGTATGAGAAAGCCCATTTTTATCTCTTTTAGAAAGTTATCCATATATATATATATATATATATATATATATATATATATATACAACTTTAAAAATGTTTGTTTCCATTTATATATTAAGATCTTTGTGCAGGACATTCATCTGGTTTAGCAATGAGTGATATTCAGATTGTTTACATATTCTGGCCAATTAAGTTAACAAAACTGTCATGCACAGAGTATCTACTTCTAAAATAATTAAAAATTAAAATAAAGTTGACACCTAACTCTACTCATCATAATTCAATTTCACTTAAATTCTGATTTTTGAGGGCATGGCAAATTTTTGTTGTGGTCTTCAGTCTTCTGTATTAACTTAATTTTACGTTCTAAAGAAAGACAGCTATAGATCAAGTGTTTGCAGTGACGGGACATGCAAAATTGGAGAAACGGAGAGAGTGTCTCTCCGTGGTCGAAACATCAACTACTTGAGAGACAGGAATTAGGGAGCCAGTGTCAATACAGCCCAGCATCCAGACAGCAAACTCCAGCAGCCTTTCTCATCATGGCAGTGGTACTTACACCCTCAAACACTAAATTGCCTCACTCTGTTCACCATGTGAAGTTAGAAAAGTCTTTGTAAAGGAGCCATCACAGCAGTTACGTCTCAACTAAGATGCTTACTCTGATTTTGTTATAGCTTTTTTTTATTGTAGTGGTTTTAAATGTTATACTGACCATGGACAAAAAGAATATTTTCATTGCAAGAGTAGTGATGCTAAAAACTGATTGATTATGGTAGTTAAAAATTTTTGACTAATCTTCATTTGGGAATTTATTCTATAACAAAATTTAAAAAAAAAAAAGGAAAAGAGCACCCCCCACACACCCCCACACCCTCCAGTCATCTAGCCACTGAAGAGATGTAATCTTTGTGTAACAATGCTTAAATCAGCACGACATTTACAACGCACATTAAGTGGTTTGTTATTTATTTCAGGACTTTAGTTGGCACAATATATGAATGGCATTGTCCTCACACTTCCACTTGATGAGTTTTCTTTCTTGTTGTTTGTTTGTTTTTAATCTTAAAAAGAGAGTGAGAAAAGAGAGGGAGAGAAAGTCTCCACCAGAATTACGCTCCGACCCCTGTTTTGTTCTTCCTTTAGCCTGAATGAATTGCTGAAGTTAGAAACAAAAAGAAACCAGCTTCAGAAATCATAGTTTAGACTCAATACAATTTTATTAAACCCAGACTAGTGTTTTTTTTTCTGCCATTCTAATATAACCTATTATGAGAATTTTTCCCCATAGACACACACACACACACACACACACACACACACACAAATAAACGTACCAACTTTCCCTCCCTAAGAGCTTCTTATTGTTCATTTTCATTGCTATTTAGAGAAAAGGCTCATTAAAATATTATGAAGCACATAGCATGATTATGTGCCAGCCTTCACCAATGAGGAACATCTGTAGTGCCGTGTATGTATATTTGTATTATAGCAAAGTTTAGCGCAGACTCCCTTTCACCCCCTTTACTTTGCCTCTGTCCTGCAATTCTTTGTCCTGACTACAGAGCAGGCAGAAGTGTGAGGCTGCACAGGCTACAGTGTGCTCATTGTCAGCCTTTCGGGGCTCCCCTGCCAGATGCCATTATTCTATCATTAGCCTGTAGCTCACGCCAGGGTAAACGTGCTCTGCTAATGCTTCCAAACCTCTCTTTTTGCTCTTTCCTCCCTAGTTATTTTTAAAATGCATCTTTTCCCCCTTCTCCCTTTGGTACAGAAAGTGCCCCCAACACACTCCAAGTCCCCAAGTCTGAGCTTTCCCTTTCTTTGCGTTTTTCTGTTTGCTTTAAACTGAAGAAGCTTGGGCATAATAAAAACACTGAGAGCTTGCCTATACCACAGATATTTGTGGAAAGCACATGGTGCCATTTTGCCAGACTACTCTTATTTGTTAAACTGAGTTAAGTGTAACGTGATTCCAAAAACTGCCTTTAGAATGAAAGAAAAGGCTTGTAAAGCCAGAGAGATAATTGCCGCAATCTGGGTTACAGAAAACGCAAAACAAAGGAGCACAATCCTGTTTTGTGTGTGTGTTGATTGTGTGCGTCTTTTTGTTTTGGTTTGGATTTTTTCTTGCTTGATGTACCCAAACAAGAGAATACTCCATGGTGTGCACGATGAGCCGGATAAAAACCACCCCAAATCTTGCAGAGTTGCAACAAAACACAGTCTCCATAGTGGACAGTGGCACATTTGTGGTGGGGATGTCTCCTTAGCAGGGAAGGCTCTCTGTCTCTTCCTCCATCCAGCAAATAACCCTCAAGGAATACAGCTATCTCCAGTTGCCAAGACTCTGACATGCATACACCCACCCTGCACCTGAAGCTGTCAGTCGATTTTTGTACATATAAAGTCTATTTGAAAAGAACTTAGCTTTCCAAATCGTACACAAGAATCCATAAAAATCCCAAAGTATCTTCTCCCTCCTACAGGGCTTTCACAACCATTGCTGTGTTATCAGCCTTCTCATTACTGGGCAGTGTCCTTTGAGAGAGTTTGGGAGACGGGACCATTCTCAGTTTTCCTTTCTGTGTCTGCCAATTGTTTCTAGATTCTAACCACTTTTCGAGACAATGATTTCCATACGTGTATCTGTATGTAAATATTAATAATCACCGCATGTGCATTTAAGGATACAAAAATAAACACCATTCCCACACATATTTCTTGTTTTAAAATTGCTGGTTCTTACTCCATAAAAAGGGTTGTGTTCCCACAGCACTCTGCTAATGTCCGTTATTAAAGAGAAATGGAGCAGACTTCCCTAATTTCCTTGCTTTATGTTTAAAAGTAAAACTGGTAGGTTTAAGCTAAATTTTTGGTCTGTTTGGGGACAGATTATGTGTTATATATTTTGAAATGAACATTTCCCATTTCCCCAGGAATCATCACAAGAGTTGCCTCTTTAAACTTCAGCTGGGCTGCCTCTTACAGCCTCAGCTGACCCCAGGTTTTCCTTTTTTTTGTTGCTAACAGGCTTTTCTCCAAGAGTAGATTTGTTAGAGAAAAAGGCAAAAATATGTCAGGGGCTTTCTTCCTTTTAGATGTAGACATTTTGTTGTCTGGACAGCAGCAAGAGGGCATGAGAAGAGATGAAATGCATTAGGTCACTAAGGTGCATGTAAGGATAAACCCATGAAGAACTCGGCATAGAACTTGGCAGTGGAACTGTCCTGCTGAGCCAAAAAGCCAGCCAGGGCATGGAAGCTTGTGATTATGGCTTGCTCTGAGAGCGAGACCCGCAGGGAGGGTGTGGAGGCTGCTTGGTGAGAAGCCTGTTTGGAAATACTAGGGGGCAGGGTATGAAATGAGACAAGCCTTAAAGGGTCCCCAGTCTAATCAGACCGTGGATGTTCCTGACCTTTAAGTATGAAAAAACAAGACAAAATAGCAATTTTTAAAAATCCACAAAAAAGATCATGGACTCCATCTTGAATTCTGTGCTGCTGAAATCAGGTAGTTGGAAATACAGGCATTTTTAACTACCCGTCAGACGCTTTGGTGAGAAGTGAAGCTCTTGGTTGAAATACTCAAGGTTAGAAATCTGAGCTGAGCAGGGAGGGAGTTAGGATGAGCTGCTTTGACAGTTTAGAGTTAGAAAGCCTGCCTGGCTCTTTTCCTCTTTCTCACTTTTGTTTCTAAATATGGGTGAAGCATTTTTCTTTATTTAATATTAGATTGAATCATGAAATTTCTAATTTAACAGTTTTTGAGTTGCTAAATGTAATTTTATTAGTTGAGCCTACCAATTCTTTCCCTTAAACAAGTCTGATTCTCATTTCTTGTGATCGACTCTTTAAGAGCCCCGTGCTGTTTCTGAGTTGTTCGGAGGCTTCTCCTTTGCTCTCAGATACAGACATTCTTCCTATTTGAATGCCTGTTGCAATTTTGGAAAGGTAAATGAAAACAAACCATTTAATACTGTTTAGTGCGGCGCCTAATGGGGCAAGTTTTCCTTCCATCCCACCCCAAAGCTCCCGTACAGAATTTAGTTTTCCAAATCATTAGACTATGGACGTGGTGAGGGCCAGGATGCTCACATTTCAGTGTTTCTAGAGTTTTATTTTACTTTAGATCTAAAAGCAAAACAAAAACAAAAAAAACTAAATTTAAACACATAATCCACACAAAAGGAAAAGAAAAGAATCAGATTGGAAGAAAAGCATATTCCCAAGTTCTTTGGTAGATTTGAAGTAGTCCCACTGTAACACCTAGCTGTCCCAGGGGTGGGGAAAGGAATTTGCATAAACTATCCTGTATAATATAGAGTCTCTACGCTCCCCAGTGTGTGGGAAAGCAGAGAGGGTTTCCTTCCTCCCATTTCTCTAGAAACGTTCCTGGGTTTTGGATAAAGATGCTCATGCTGAGCACTGTATAGAAAGGGTGTGTGTCCGGGATGCATAGGAGGCTATTATCTGGTGATGGAGGCTGACTTTTAAAGGGCCCCTGTGAAGGAGGTTCTGAAATATCCAATACTGTGAGAGTTCACTGACTTGCAACCGCAATATCTTTCCTAGGTTTCAGAAGATGAAGTGAAGGGAGAAAATAAGTACAAACCTTTCTGTTCCAGTTGTACGGTGGAGAAAGTGCAGCTTCATCAGCTTCAAAACTATGCTGAAAGGGGAGCTTTCAAAACAAAACAGCATAACTCGATACAAGCAACGTACGAATGAAATTCTGTATTCCATTTGACTTTCTGAGTATACACTCATGTTGATCTGTGTTTATCTTTACACATCATGTTGCTACATCTCCTGAATGTGTGCTTTCTTTGTGATATTTCCATACCATCACCACAGTTATTTAAAAAAGTCACATGTTTCAAAATAATAATATTTTTAAATTTTTTCCTTTATAATTAGCACATGAAGAAAATATAATACTTATTTTGAAACCAATAGGTGGTGCTATGAAGTTTTAGATTTTAATTCAAAGAAATATATTCATTTAACTTCCCTAGTCCTCAGAGAATTAGAAATTTCCTATTTATCACAGAGTTTTCATGGTAAAATAAAAAAAAAAACCACATTGATTTTCACATGCAGTTCTCTTTCTTTGCAAGATCAACCATAATGCAGGGTGTGAAGGAAATCTCTACACTTTTTGAAAGGAAGGCATATTTGCAGAAACTCACCCACATAGTCTTCTCTATTCTCTCTCCATCTACTAACTGGAAATACACAGAAATACAGAATTTGAATATTATAGTTCACGGTCTGAACAGCCTTAGGAGCTACATTTCTATAAAAGGCAATACCCTTAGTGCTGCTCCATCACAATCCAGCTATCTGTCTTCATAGATTCCAAGAATCATGCATGAGAATCAGGGAGCTGTGATGAGGCAATTTAAAGTGAGAATCAGAGCTTTGTTTGTTTTTAGGGAAGACAATGTACTTCTGGTACATATAAGAAAAGTTTTGGAGCAGGTCCTGCACCTTGTGTGGGCGATACAATAGAGCCAGTCCTGTTGGCGGAGGTGTGGGTGAACCAGCCCTGAAGTTGTTGCACGGGAGAGCTGTCCCCATTACTCATCTGTCATGTGGCAGCATGGGATGGGGAGAGATGCCCTCTACCCCTCACCCATCAACACTGAAGCAGGTGGAAGAGCCGGCCCTGAGGTCATAAGAGCAGGAGAACTGTCTCTGCCCCTCATCAGCTGCAGCACTTGGGAGAGGGTCCCCTATGCCACACCTTGACAGCACAGTAGAGCTGACCCTGAAGGTGCAGGTGTGGGAGATCGGGATCCTGAGGACATGAAAACAGGAGAACTGGCCCTGCCCCTTGCTCATCACTGTAAGGGGTGAATTAGCCAGGACAATGCAGGAGAGCTCACCCCAGTGGTGAGGGCAAGGGAGAGCTGGCAGGCTGGCCAACCCTGCAACTACTCAGACTCAGGAACTGGGATTATGTATTAGCTCACCCCAACATCCACCTCATCTGTGATCTGCTGGAGCATGTGAAGGGACTGGTCCTGCCCACCCAAAGCTGCAGGATTTCCACAACACAGGGCAACAACAGGGTATCCAAGAGGAGTTCCAGGGAGAGCCCAGCCCAGCATTGATAATACAGCAGAAACCAGGGGCCTCGAACCACATCAACGACTCTTTGCAGTGAACACTTGCAAGTAAAGATATACGGATAAAAGGTTTTACTGTATGACTCACTCTCTCACACTACAGCTTCCATGATAAGACCTCTCTCTCTCTCTCTCTCTCTCTCTCTCTCTCTCTCTCTCTCTCTCTCTCTCTCTCTCTCTTAAATTTTATTTTATTTTTGGGGAGGAGATTGCAAGGCAGAGGGTGGATATGAAGGATAGGAGAAATGAATGGGATGGAGATGCATGATGTGAAAGACACAAACAATAAATAAAAAGAAAGAGAAAAAAGAAAAGAAAAGTTTTGACTGTTCAAAAATCACAAAAACTGAGTCTTAGGGAAAGGGTGTGTGCATGTTAGGGATGTGTTCCCTGCAGGTTAAAAAAAAATCTCAATCTCCTCTCTCTCTCTCTCTCTCTCTCTCTCTCTCTCTCTCTCTCTCTCTCTCTCTCTCTCTCTCTCTCTGCATATGAAGCTGATATACTAATATAAAGGAAAAACAGGGAGTTCCATCCATGAGTTCTTGTAATAGTGTAAAAAAAAAAAAAGAACAGTGACAGCTGTGCTGTGCCTTACTATACTATCAACCCTAGCTTTCCTCAAACATCTGGGTGACTTTTAACCTCTCTTCCCCAAGATGCTTGGAACCTTGTGGAGACCACCAAGTACTGAGTGAGCAGCCTGGTTGCTTATGGAAGGTGTGTTTGCAGAACACATGATAATTTACATGCAATTACACTGCATAAGGAAACCAAGTTTCCTCCTTCCCACCAGGACACTTTCTGGGATGGCTCCTTACTTCCTGCTGTTCATAGCCCTGCTTTCTTCCTGACCTTCAGGGGTCAAGCTGCTTCCTCTCAGCTGAGCTGGTGAGGATTAGACTGAAGTATTAAATGTCAATTTTTGCTATTCACTCCTTATCCATAATATTTAGGCTATGAGAGAAAACATACAAGCTGAAGAAAATATCTCATAGGAGTCGTAAATAGAAAGAAGGTGTGGAGAAAGGGAGTTGAGAGTCTCTCTCTGTGTGTGCTATACTGGAGGCACATTACCTGGAACATTCTCTCCAAATGGAAGCTAGGTTTTAGAAGGGGTTTGACAATGTAGGACTTGTCTGAGAGGAGCGGTAAGAACGTTGAAGAGATGTGATAAGCACATGTGGTGTGGATGTAGAAATCACAGATTCTAGTTTGATAAGGGAATCTTGGGAAGAGTGCAGTAGGGTCAGCAATGGTGATAATCTCCTGGTAACTGATAAGCTGTCATACGGAGAAGGCATTTAAAAAGATTTGATGGGATTCCAGGATGCTTATCAAGAATTAGTCAAAGGGAATGTCATTTGCTATCTCATTTCTTTGTCAAGATACTAGCATGAGATGTAAAAAGCTTTCTTTCACTGTTAGAAAGTGAAACATAACCCAAGCAAATCTAGTCATAAGATGATGTGAAATAAACTAATAATCTATGAGTCTGGGCTAAATAAAAAAAATTTAAAATGTTACAATGTTTTAAAACATTTTTTAAAAAAATACATAAACCCCCACTCTCCTCAAATTGTTCCAGTCAACAGACACTTATTGAAAAACTATTACATGTCCGGTACCTCTTTAAAGCAGGGTACCAATACCTGGACCAGAGCAGAGCTCTGCTCTTCCGTTGTTTTCACCCATGTCACTGAAAAGGAAAAAGACTCTGCCGTTTGTTGGTAGTTGCTAAGAGCTACAAACAAGTAACAAGGTCCTAATTCACAAGGGGAAAGTCCGTACTATCCACAGGTGAACAGGAATGTTTTGTATGCAGAGGCTAATGAGAGCCCATCTCAGAAAATGTTGGAGCAGGGATTAGCTAACAATTTGGGGAGACACAGAACACCTCAATTGTTTTTGTCCTTGTACATTCATTTTGATCATGTGATAAATTACAGTCATCTCTGCATATCTAACACTACCTACACATGGTGGTGGGATGAAAATTCTACAGAATATTTCGCATCAGATGCAACACACACACACACACACACACACACACACACACACACACACACACACCTCAAAACTTCTATTGCAACTCAAATGACATGTGACTTATTTCCTTTATATGTATTTATCCCTCCTTTCCCTTCTTTCAATTTTACATCTCCCTTTTTTCCCCTTTAGACCTGGAGAAGTAAATGTTAGCTTGGCCTTTTCTTATTGCGACACTCTAAGACCTTCAGTGACAGAGTTCAAAAAGGCAGCATGAGGGAGGAGACTCATAGAGCCCCAGTTTCCTCATCCTATCCATGCATGGCTCCTCTTCCAGCACACCTCCTGGAACACAGGAAGCATGCAGCTTTGCAGACAGTTTGGAGGAGTGGGAGCACAGCTTGTTCAGTTAGGAATGGACTTTTGCTACATGGAAAGAAAATCTAAACTAAGGCCCATTCCTTGAAGATTTTTATTCTCTCATAAAACACCCAAAGGTTGGATATGCGTATCTGGTAAAGCAGTCATGTAAAATCTTCAGAGAACCATCACCCTTTGAAGTTTCCATTACACCCAACAAGGGGCTCGCTGTATGGTTCTAGGAGGTCAGAGGAGGGCTAACAATATATGATGAATTTGAACCAATAAAAATGTATACTAATATCTGAATTACTATCACATGACCTCCCCTCTCCTTCCCTCCCCCTCTCTCCCTCTCTCTCTTTCTCTCTCTTCCTTTCTTTCTTTTTGTTTGTGTTTTTTGAGACAAGGTTTCTCTGTGAAACAGCCATGGCTGCCCTGGAACTCACTTCATAGATCAGGCTGGTCTCAAACACATATATCCAGAGATCCACTTGCCTCTGCCTCCCAAGTGCTCGGATTAAAGGCATACATACATATCCACACCCAGCAGTATCATGTGATTTTTATTAAATAATTTGGGAAACAACAAAATCTTTCTAACAGCTACAGAGCCCCAGAGGAAACAAGCCTCTCCTTGAGATCCTAGCAGTAGGCATGGACAATGAAAGAGTGTGAGGGAAGAATTAATGCACTTGGTCGCATCTGTGTCTTTCTCCCTGATGGGACACTCAGTTCTTCTGCAAATCACATATAGAACTTCTGAGATACACTAGCCATGGGATGTGCCCACCAACCCATCACATCTTTCAGTGTTGAGTAAATTATCATTTATACCCATTTAAATTTCAAAGAGTTTTGGAAACTTAAGACAAAGTTCATCTTCAGCAATAAATTAATACTTAGAAAATAATATGAAGTATGGGACTTATGTATAGGTACCTAAGACTACTACCAGTGTACCCACATGTAAATGACATTCAGTTTCTACACCAGTTCATTCTGGAAGATTCCTCTATTGTCTGTCTTGCGTTTTCTTGAATCAAAGGACTCATGAAGATGTTTGGAGCATATTATGTACTTTGAGCATAGCGACCAAGAAGATAAACATAGGAAAGTTGAATTTTAAAGATTGGGTGGGGGTTGACTTTTTAAATATAAAACTACTATAGAAAACTAGTGCTTTGCTTTCATAGCTAAGTAAATGCAAGACATTAAAATTTAGTCCCCATGAAAATTGGACAAAATTGTTTTAAATAGGGATTGAATACGTTTGAAACTGAGACATTTGCAAGAATCATTTCCTATTTTGTGTGCAGTTGAGCTGATTGAATTACCATTTCTGCCTAGAACCACAGAAGCCCAAGAGACTCTGAGGTCAAAACCACAAACAATGGCTCTTTGTCTAAAAGAACCCCATCATTGTGTTTTTAGATGCAAACATGTGCGATCTCAATGTATAGCAGAATTACTAAGAGTTCAGCTCTAGCCCAGAAGAACTTATGCATCTGTCAGTTTTCACCAATTCTTGATTTGTAAATAGAATGTACTACCTTACATAAGAGTACAGAAAACCCCTCTCTTTCCTCCATTATATCAACTGAAATTCACTGTACCTGGGGTGTGGTTCTTTTTGGTTTAGAAGTACAGTCCATAGAACTCCCTTCCTTTGCCACATTTGCAAGAGGAGTCAAAGATGATATAACTGCAGAGGAGCTTCCTCCTGTGGCAGATGAAAACAAATATAGAGACCCACAGACAGACAACATGTAGAGAGTGAGAGACCTTGGAACACTCAGCCCTAAACCGGATGTCTCCATCAAATCTCTCCTTGGGGCTCAAGGATCCCCTCAGAGAAGGAGATGGAGATGAAAAGAGTGTAAGAGCCAAAGGGGATGGAGGATACCAAGAAATTAAGGCCCTTAAAATCAACACGATCAACATGCACATTAAGTGATAGAGACTTAGACAGTATGCACAGGGCCTGCCCCAGTCTGTACCAGATGAGGCCCTACTGTTGAAAGAAGTGGACACGTGCCCTCATCCCTGACCAAGAAGCAATCTTCAAAGGATAATCACTTACAAATGAAAATTTGGTTTCCTACTAGGGAGTCTCAAAGGGGAAACAAACTATTCTGCATGCCCAGCAGTAGATGGCTAACAGAGAACAAACACAATAGCATCTTTGAGGGTTCCTTGTCCCATGATAATGTGTCAGGGATTTTCCTTTTCTAATTTTATCTTACTCCTTTTTATTTTAGTTGTACTCTACACACACACACACACACACACACACATACACACACGTGTGAGCGCATGTGTGCGCGCACATGCGCTCTTTTCTCTTTTTACCCTAAAGTTCTTTTGTTTTATAATTTTCAATTTAGTGTTTTTATGGGATTCCTGAGTGTAGAAACAAGTGGGTTTCTGTTTCTTGTGCCTTCTCTTGGGCTCCTTTCCTTCTGATTGTTTGTTTTGTCTAATTCTGATGTGTTAGTTTTTGTCTTATATTTTATATTACATTATTATATTATATTTATTATATTACCCCATAGAAGCTAGTTTTTGTCTTATATTTTATATTACATTATTATATTATATTTATTATATTACCCCATAGAAGCCCTTTTGTTTTGTAATAGACAGAAAGGGGATGGATCTGGATGAGAGGTGAAGTGAGGAGGAGCTGGGAGGAGTAGAGGGGGGAAACATAATCAGGATTTATTATGTGAGAAAAAAATC